AGGCAAGTACAGGAGGGGAGTTACCACACAGGGATCTTGCATGAGCCCTACATCAGGGTTTTAGGGTTTACGGTTTTGGGGTGTAGAGTTTAGGGTTTTTAGGGTTTAGGGTTTCAGGGCTTGGGGTTTAAGGTTTTAGGGTTAAGGGTTAAACTGACAATGGTCCCTTTATAGCCGAGCCATAGCCTCTACGAAAACTCCTTCCAGTGAAGGCTCCATTTCTGTAAGTGCAATGAGGGGGAACCCTCAGCCCCTAAAACCCTAAAACCCTAAAAGCCTACACCCCTGACCCCTAAACCCCTAAACCCCTTCGACCCTAACCCCCCCAAAACCCCCAAACCCCCTTGTTTTTTAAACTTGGCCTGAATAAGGTGATGCCTCGGATCCTCAGGTCAAGCAAGCCAAGGAGAAGGTGGGATAGCTTAGGTGGACCCCCCACCCTGTAATAGTGGCTATAAGGGATAATTTGGGGTTTAGGGGTTTAAGGTTTAGGGTAATAGTGAATAATTGGCTATAAGGGATAGTTGAGGGGTTTTTATGGTTTAGGGTAATAGTGATCATAAGGGATAACCAGGATTGTTTTAGTGTCCTCTTATACCTGTTCTACCACTATTAAGTGTTATAGGGTGGGGTGTCCTCCTAAGGGATAGCCAGAGGGGGGAATTAGGGTTCAGGATTCAGGATTAAAGGTTAAGTTCTGGGTTCAGGATTTAGAGTTTAGGGGCCTATAATCTAGGGTTTAGAGAGTTTGAGGGTTTACGATTCAGGGCTTGGGGCTGCAAAATTGGATACTTGCAGAAGTTGGGCAGCTAAGGGGTTAAGAGATTAGGGTTTAGGATTTGGGGTTTAGGGTTTAGAGTTCAGGGATCTTGGTATTTGCAGCTTTGGGATTTGCAGCTTAGGCTCGGGGATGGGGATTTGGCACCGGCAGTTGGGGGTTCTGGCTTGTAGTTTGGGATTTGGGATTCTGCTGTCAAGGGCTTAGGGCGTGGGGGTTTACGTGGTGGATTTGGGGTGCTGAAGCGGCATTGTTGTGTCCAAGAAGACTAGGCTTAGGATTTGAAAGGCGTGCACGGAAGAACCCCTCAGCCCTAAACCCAGAAGCCTTAAACCCCTAAACCCTAAACCCCTGAGCCTTAAATTAAAAGCTAACCCCATAAGCCCTAAACCCTAGCCCCTAAACCCTAAGCCCTAGACCCCAAACCCCTAAGCCCTAAACCCCGCGCCCTAAACCCGAAACCCTAAACCCATGGTCTACATTTATGGTCTCTCCAACTGGGCAAATCATCTACTTTGAGGGTTTTTAGGTTCTATGGTTTTAGAGTTTTAGGTCTTGGGGTTTTGGGGTTTATGGGGTTTTAGAGTATCGAGTTCAAGGAATATTGCTCCGAAACCCTGTATACACTCACCAAAAACCCATGCGAAAGCCATACTGCGGCACTGTCACAAGCTGAGGGCTTACCAATGTTCTTCCCTTCAAAGTCCTACCCTAAGAAGTGCCTTGGACCCTACATACAATCCCAGCCAGAACCTCTGTACAAACCCATTCTCCTGTTTGGGGTTTAGGGTCTAGGGTCTAGTACATAGCTCCCTAAGCGCTAAGAAAGAGCCTGAACCCTAAGTCAAGTAGCTTATGCCTAAACCCTAAATCAAATAGCCTAACCCTCAACCGTGAACCTTTGACAAATGGCTTAGTGCTCGCCCATGCCTTGTTCATGCGTAGTCAGTTAGGTACTGAAGGTTAACCCAAAACCTTAAATCAAGTAGCCTAACCCTTAACCCCAAGCCTTGCATCAAATAGCCTAAGCCTCAACCTTAGATTAACTCGCCGAACCCTAAACTCTAAATCAACTAGCCGCCCTGAGCCCAAAATCCTAAACCAAATAGCCTAACCCGCAACCCCAAATCAAATGGCCTAACCCTACACCCTTAACCCTAAACTGTAAATCAAATACTAACCCTTAACCCCCAACCCCCGACCCTAAACTCAAATACGCCCCTACGCTGCGCTTCTTGAGGTCTTGTCGCTTCAGAACAAAGCGGAGGATGCCTTGCAGGCTATCCAGAAGGACCCCCAGGCCACCATCGGGATTTGGAATTTAGTGCTTGGGGTTTCTAAAGGGTTTAGGGTTTAGGATCCAGAAGAACCCCAGGCCACCATTGGGATGCGGGGCGTAGGCTTCAGGGTTTAGGCTTAGGGTTTAGGATTGAGGGTTTGAGGTTTAGGATGCTTTAGGGCTTTAGGGTGTGCGGTTTTGTAGGATGTCCTGGTCTCTTTGTTGTTTTTAGGGTTTTGGGGGTTTGTGGTTTGGAGTTTGGGCTTTGAGGGGATGAGACTTTGGTGTTTGAGGTCAGGGTTTTCGGTTTAAGTTTAAGGCCTGCGGCAGATTGGACAAGAATGCTGAAAACCCGAACCCTAAGCCCTAAACCCTAAACCCTAAACCTTTACAGATACTCTTTTCAAGATATGCTCAGGGCCTCCTCAAAATTCCTGTTTTGAGGCTCAAAAATTGATGGGTGTCCATTCGGCTTAGAACTGAGGGCTTAGGGCAAGGTTGTGAGTCGGGAAATGCACAGGATTCAGTTCAAAGAGTGTGGTAGGAGCTGGGTTTGCCGTTCTTTTGGGCTGTCTTCCTATGCCCTACACTCAGGGTTAAGTAGAGGATTGCATCGGAGCAATCAGTACAAGCCCAGAAGTTATTGCAAGGAGTCTTGCACCCTGCTGTTCTACTGGGTCATTGTTACATGAGCTGTAGTCTACACTCCTTAAAGGGGAGTATATATTAGGTTGCCAGCAGCTCTTCAAGGGTTTTGGGTTTAGGGCTTCGGGTCTAGGGCTTAGGGTTTAATGTTTAGGTCTGAGAGCCAACTTTGAAATCCTAGATGCTGATTGGGATGTGGATGAGAGAGGGTTTTTGGCGGAATGCCCCGCCTGTCTACCACAAGGGCCGCAATAACTACCAACAGTTTGAGAAGGATTCAAAGTACCTATGCCAAAGGTGTACAAGGAATTTAGTAGTACAACCTAAACCCTGAACCCAGCACTGAACCCTGAACCCAAACTGAACCCCTAAACTCCTAAAGCTTTGCATCCCAAGGCGTTACGCCTTGAAGCCTAAGCCCAGAACCTTATAATGCCTAACCCGAATCCCTGGACCCTTTATCCCAAACCTAAGCGCTGATCCTTAAACCTAAAACCACCAAGTGCTAAGCCGAAAGGCCCTTAACCCCAAATCCTAAGCCTTAAATCCTAACCATTACCAGCCCCAAGCCCTAAGCCTTAATTCTAACCCCTACCCTTACCCCTAAGCCGCAGCGTCTTCATCCTTAGCCATGAACCCCTAAACCCTA